CCTCCTGCGGATAGACACAGACACGGGGAACGGCAGCGGCTCCTTGTTCTCGTCCCTCCCGGCGGCTCCGGCAGCCGAGGGCTCAGAAGTGAACCCTCCTGACGTCGTGCGTGGCAGCCGACCTTTTACAGCTCCCGCACAGGATCGACGAGAGGGACTTCTGCTTCTCGGCCGAGCACGGGCGGCACATGAGGTGGCCGCAGGGGAGCTGGTAAACGGGCTCCGTTTTGAAGTAAGAGGAGAAGGTTTTGCCGCAGGAAGCGCATCCTTGGGTCTGGCTGCTCCTGCCGTGCTCTGCAAAGGCGACAGGAGAAGCGGCTCAGTCATGGGGGGGGGGGGGGACAAATCCACGCTGTGCCACCCCTCACGTGCCCAATCCTGCCTAGGAGCCGAGGGCCCTGCTTTCTGCAGAGGTGCAGCACAGCGGTAGGCGCTCACGGCTCAGGACCGTGGCCCGTTTGTCGCTGCCATAAGGAAAGGGAAGGGCCTGGCTCCTGGGGCAGGCTGAGCTCAGAAGGGGCTGGTCACTGGGCTTTTTACTTTCACTGAGACTAAATCAGCCCCCCTTCCGCTTTTCCAAGGCTCGGATTAAAATCACCGATTCCTGAGCGAAACGCTTTAAGTATCACTTTGCATTCCTGTCACACACGACCTATCAAGGGCTACTCACTCAACTCTTAAACGGCAGCAATTTTAAAGGGGACAGGAAAAAGCTTAATAGCTTAATGTCGCTGCGAAGCAGCCAAAGCTATTCAGAGAGATTGAGCCACTGGGAGCTGCACAGCCCCGGCCTCTTCTCAGGGTCACTTGGTCCCTCTGAGCCCCCTTCTCTGCCACGAGCAGGCAGATCCTCGCTCAGGGGAAGAGGGGGAGCAGGCCAGCAGTTAGGGCATCGGCTCCTGGAGGGACAGATGAAGGATCAGTGCTTCCCTGCACCCCAAAGAATCATAAAATCACAGAATGTTTTGGGTTGGAAGGGACCCCCAGAGGTCACCCAGCCCAATCCCCCTGCAGGAGCAGGGACACCTTGAACCACATCAGGTTGCTCACAGCCCTGTCCAACCTGGCCTGGAATGTTCCCAGGGATGGGGCCTCCACCCCCTCTCTGGGCAACCCCTGCCAGGGTTTCACCACCCTCATTGTAAAGAATTTCTTCCTTAGATCCAGTCTAAACCTACCCTGGTTTAGTTTCAAACCATTACCTGTTGTCCTATCGCTACAGGCCCTACTAAAAAGTTTGTCCCCCCCTTTCCTCTGGGCCCCCTTTAAGCCCTGACCGGCCGCACTCAGCTCTGCCCGCAGCCTTCTCTTCTCCAGGCTGAACACCCCCAACTCTCCCAGCCTGGCCCCAGAGCAGAGGGGCTCCAGCCCTCGGATCATTTTAGTAGCCCTCCTCTGGCCCCGCTCCAGCAGGTCCATGTCCCTCTTGTGCTGAGGGCACATTGTTTTGGGTACACGTACGCAGCTGGATTAGCATGCCTAGCTAGCAGCTGTGATGAAAACTGCGAGGACTCAACAGCCTGGCCTATGGATATTCACACCCGATGGGATTCTGGCTGGTTGGCTTGTGACGTTGCTGCCGTGACCTGTCCCTGTTAGGGTCAGCCTGCCAGATGGCTTTGGCTGGACTGACCCCTCTCCAGCTGCATCTCCGCACCAGACTCATTCCCCATCCACGCAGCAGCTCCCCAGCTTGCTCTGTGCCGCTAACCGGCAACATTCAAGGCACTCAGCCCACCTCGCAGAGCTCTGGGAGCAGCCGAAGCCTTGACGTGGGGTGAGCTTGCAGCCTGAACGAACCCGGTGCAGGCTGGGCTGAGCACCACGTCCCAGCGCAACGCATCCAGCACCATCCTGGGGCAGCGCAGGCAATAGCAGGGGCAAATCGTGGGACTCGTGCTGAAGCCTGCTCTGACCGTGGACATGGACGCCGTGCCTCACTTTCTGGGGGTCAACAAGGTCTAACCTGCCTCACTGGGAGAATAAACCACTAAATCTGCTGAGATACAAAGGCGGTAGTCGGGGATTGTTAAGTAAAGCTTGCTGGGGGACAATGAATATTTTGATATTGAATATACAGTAATTTGGGGTCTGAAGAGGCATAGGAAGACGCTGAGCAGAGGCACAGCCCTCCCTGTTAACCCAGTCCCACTCCTCCTCTCGCTCCCCAAGGTGAACCAGAGGCGCTTGCTGCTTACCGAGGACGGTGCCCCCGCTCCACGAGCTGCTGCAGCCCCCCTCGCTCTGCGCCTGCTGCTGGCTTTTCATCAGCTTGGCCGTAAACCAGGGCATCGAGCTGAGCGCCGAGTTCAAGGCAGTGTCCAAGCTCTCCGACAGTTTTTGTTCGTGAGAGACCAGATCTGCAAAGAGAAGCACAAGCTCGAGAAGCGGACGCCGGGAAAAAGCAAGCTGTCAACGCGCAACAGGAACGCTGCCTTGCTTCTGAACCTTTCGAAGGGACAACACTCGGGATTTTAGGAGCTCTGCCACTTGTTTTCTTGAGAGGTCTCTTTTCCCTACTGAGGTGCCCGGATGGGGACGTAGTGCCTCATGGCCTTTGGGTCCTAAAGACGGAAAGCCCTATGGATTACTGCCAGACATTTGTGCCATGCCCCAGTGCCAATGAATATTCGGGGGCCAGCTTATATCTGCAGGTCCGAACACGGCCAAAATGCCAAGTGATCCAGAAGCTGTTTTGTCTCTGAAACCCCAGGCAGCTTCCTCAGCCTGCTCCGCCGGGGGTCCTGGCCCCGTGCTCCCCCAGGCTCGCTTTGCGCAGCTTATCCGGGAACATTTAATCCACTAACAAAATCCGGGGGACTGACTTTGTTCTCTCTGTCCCAGTTCTGAGTCAGGGGATAAAGCCAAAGGTTTGGACCCTTCCCCGCAGTGTTTTGTCCTGTGCAATACTGAAGGCGTTCATTAAAACTGTGCGTTAAGAGAATGTTGTCTGCATCGCTAATTCTGTTAAATCCATCTCCCAAAGGGAGAGCTTTGAATTAGTGCTGCACATTGGCTACAGCAATCAAGGCTGATGAAATACTGAAGCACAAGCTCCCTGGGCCGAGCACTGTGCTTTTATTTATGTACGGGCACGGCTCCTCCGGGAGCTCCAGGACCCCGCGGGGCAGTCCCTGCTCCTGGGGCACATCCCCAGCGGGAGTTGTTGCACGCCTCTGCAGTAAAAATAACTCGTGATTCCTCCGAAACCATGGAATGAGCTCTAGACTGAAAGAGCAGAGCAGAAATGTGCAGCCTGACTCTTCCCGGTACCACCAAACACCGATTATTTTCTACCAAGTCTTTAAAGAATTTGTTTAAAATTAAAGAACCACCTAAGCTTTTTCCTTGAAACGTTTTTGGGTAATTTTGGGGAGAAAAACACCGTGAGTGACAGGTACCAGCAGGCATTAACTGCAATCAAAGGCTGCAGGCCACCTTTTGACGCCTTGCAGCCAGCTACGGTAGAGAAGGCAAGGAAATTGGACTTACCTGCCTAGGGAGACAGCCCTTACGTGACGAGGAGACACCCGTGCACCCCGCATTTACACCGTCCTGCTCAGAGCAGGCTGCTCCCACCAGCCAGCCTCAAAGACACAGCCGCTCTCCTCAAGCCCACC